ACAAAATAAAACCGTTATAAATGAACTATTTGATACGACGAAAAAAATAACTGACCCTTTATACTCTTCCTTTGTAACGAAGTTATCATTGTCAGTGTCGATCTCTTCAAAGATGATGTCGACGTCTAGACTGTTGAGCACTCCATTCTTATCTTTATCTAAATGGTCGAAATGAGTGGCGAGAACACTTTTAGTAAAAATGTCTGGTTGTTCTACATCCACCCAGCGCTCATATTCACCTCTGGTCAGTTGTCCGGTAATATCCAGATCTTTCTCCTGATAAAATAACTGAAAGAGTATAGCAAACAAAAACACTGCAAGTTTGAAAATACGATATTATTTTCACAAAGCTACTTACAAACAGTTTTTGTTCCATCTCGGTCCTGGAAACAAGTCCGTCGCCATTCATGTCCATCTTTTTAAATGACTGGGAGATCAAAATTTTTACTTTCATTCCCAAGGTCAAGGCTGGGATACGGTGCACCTGCTTAGCCAGGAACCTTTGAAAAGTTTCAAGTATATATTTTAACATGTTTTAAATATATAAAGTGGCTCAAATTAGTTATATTTGAAATTTTCTCGATTGTTAATGAATATATGAAAGCTAATTCTATAAAGATTCTGACCTTTTGTATTCATGCTCAGAAACCTTGAAGTCTCTGTCTATGTCAATCTCATCAAAGATGACTTCAATATCTACACTGTCCAAAACACCGTTCTTGTCTTTATCCAAGTCATCGAAGTGAGTCAATAAAACTCTTTTGGTTTGGGGATCAAAGCTGACAACATCAACCCAGCGTTCATACTCGTCTTTTGTGATCTGCTTGTTCATATCCCAAACATTCTCCTGATGAATCATTTTTAAAGCTGATTTAGTTTAAAGACGCAAGAAAAGAAAAAAAAAACCACTTTTTTCTTGCAAATTTCTTTAAAAATAACAATCGTTTTCCCATGAACTTTGTTTTTGTAAAGAGCGTATGTAGATTTAAAGTTGTAATTATTAAATAGTCGTACTGTGTACACAATGGTATATGTTTAAAATGTAATTGTTATGTTGCACATGATAAAGGTTATTTATACTTTCAAAACTTACAAAAAGTTTATCTTTCATCTCTGATTTGGAGATAAATCCATCATTGTTAGTATCTAACTTTTTGAATGATAGGATGGTCACAAAGTTGAGTTTCATCCCCAAAGTCAAGATTGGAATGTCAGACATTGTCTTAGTACCGTAACTAGATAGAGAAATCGACGTAAAATAAAAATTACATTAAGATTACTTAGATAATTTTATGAACTTTCTACTATTTTAATTAAAATATGATAGAAAGATTTAAAAGAAAAGAAAACAACATTTTACCTCAAGTAGTTATTGCCATAAAGACTTGTGTCAAGCCCGGTTAAATCCGAATCAACCAACATTCTATGGTGAGTACTATCTAAAACACCGTACTTATTGTTGTAACTCTTGCCAAGGAGGTTTCTTAGGTAAAGTTTTGAATGTGGGATGTAGGTTCGTGCGTTAGCTCGGCTCCAATGGCCAAATGGAGTCACAGGACCTAGCACGCTGCCATAGTTGTCCTAAATTTATACATATTTTTATTTTTATGTAAAGTTAATAGTTTATGTATTAGTAATTGACATACAAATATAATTTATTCATATATTGTATATTTATTATTATTATTATGAATTAAAACAGCGAAGCAACTCTTAAATTATTACTTACTCCCCATCCAAGAACCGATCTATCATACTTAGTCATCGGACCCAAAATGCCTCCATATTGATCCTGGAATGAAGTATTTATAGAGTGCTTTAGCCAAAATGCATTTGAATTACACTCTTTTTAACTTAATTCGTAAACATATAATAATTTAGAATCAGCAATCATATGACAAAATAAATGGAGAACTACTTACTCCCCATCCATGTACTGATCTATATGAGAGACCACCAGGGTAAATACCCGTCAAACCCACATATGGTGGATAGAGTCTATCCACATACCTCCCTACGCAAAGGGCAGGTAGGACGAGAAGAAGAGACAATGCAGCAAACATTATGCGGTGTATTACTGAAAGACAAAATGTCGACATATAAAATCTACTAACTTACTTCTGAAATTCAGTCTTTGCATCCTAAATTAAAATCAGGATATTTAAGTGTTTCCAAATAATATGGTGGCCTAACATTTAAATATGAATCTCTGTAGATATGTTAACAAACGTTCAAACATTAGTGTTCTATTTCTGTAAAGGATGACTTACCTGATAGCTTCTAGAGTTAGCAGTGATTTGAAAATATGGTCCAGTCGGCTTTTATTTGTTTTGATATGTGGACCAGATGATTCTTTTAAGAGGGCAGCCTGATAAGGACATTGAAAGTACTTCAAAACTCTCTTTTATCAGACAGAATTTACTGAATTTGCAATTTTGGTTTCACAAAAATCTGCAAGTGGTAAATAAAAAATATTAAGTGCCTCAAAACTTTAAAACGACTGTCCTTGACAATGTCACATCGTTTTTTTTTTCCAAATATTTTATTTTAAAAAAAATTTGACTTAATAGAAAATTAAAAGCTTATGAAAAGTATGTATACAATTTGAAGATTAAATATTTCAGGTCAAAATAATTTTTAAAGTTTTATCAAAACTTAAGACTATACGTATCAGTAAAAAATATTTCTTACAAAATGTTTAAAACATATTATGAAAGAACAAAATATTATAAGGCATAAATAATACATCGAAACACGGTGTATAGATTGAACAAACGATATAAGGAGAAGATATAACAACGCAAAAGATGATGAATATATCGTAAATACAAATTATGCTAAATATTTTAATCGAAAAATAAATAACAAAAATTATTTTTTATATAAAGCTTTGTAAAAAGAAAAATCCCTTCTTACAACTTTATTTCGAAGTAAATACAAAACGAAAAAACCAAACTCAGTATAGATAAAATGTGTATAACGTTTTTATCTATTCTACATGGAAAATTATTTCTCAACTTATTTTTATCATACAGAATCTACTGAATTTTCAATTTTTGTGAACAAAATACTGCAAATGATAAATGGTAAAAGTAAAACTTAGTGCCTCTAAACATTAAAACATACGTCCTTGACATTGCTTTGTTTATAATTAATTTTTAAAATATGTTACATAATAGAAAATTAAAAGCTTATGTAAATAATGTATACAACTTGAAGGCTAAATATTCAGGCTAAATATATTTGAAGAGTCATTATTAAAATTTAAGACTCAATGTATCAGTACAAATATATCTTACAAAATGTCTAAGCCACAATTTAAAAAGACAAAATAGTTTACGGCATAAAGTAATAAAACTAGGTACGTGTTTATATTATAAACAAACGATAGCAGGAAAAAACTATATCAAACGCAAAAATGCATGAATATTACGAAAATAAAAACCATTTTAGAAAACACATTATTTTAATTCTTATAAAAACCAACAAATGAATTGCATTAATTACTTTGTACAAAACGCATAGTGAAAAAAATTCATCTAACCACTTTTTTCGAAGTAAAAACAAAGTGAAATAAAAAACCTTATATTAAAAGTGTATATTTTTAATTCTATATTTATGAATGATCCGAAGATACGTAGCGATAATTTTGACTACCTCGCTTAAAAAAAAAATCAACAATAAAAGGTACTAAAACAAAAATTACCTTGCAAATACAAATATTTATGTTTATCAAATTCGACAACTCGTAAATATAAGGCTTCTTATATGGTAATTAATTTTTGTTCAATTTTCTGATCATAAAGTTTAAATGGGGTTTTCAGGTTATTTTGAAGGTATAATTTACGATTTCTTAAGGTGTCCTTAGTTTATTTCTACCCGGACGTGCATATCTTTAAAATGAAAACGCGTGGACAAATGATAAAAATTTAGTAAACGCCATTATTAAAATACATTCCAGTTTCCAAGATTCGTTTACTACATTCGGTTTCATTTTGAAATTTTTGTCGGTCCTAAGTTTCTTAAGCAGAATGGATAGTTTAACGTCAAGCGTATGTCTATAAATGAATGAAGAAAAAAATATATGTTAAGAGATAAATTCAATTTTGAAAAAAATAGATTGAAAGAATATTCAGAAAATCGTAATTTATAAAAATTAAAACATTCTTTAAATCTTATTAAAATGACATTTTGTCAATTAAAAACTTCTAGATGGTAAAATATAAATTTAAAAAAAAATTCATTACGCATTTATTAAACTTGAAGCATATTTGGAGAAACACTTTCTTTACTGATTTTGGTCTTGGTATTTTATACCTATCACTGAAATATAACAATCTAAATTAATTATGTAAACAAATGGCACGTTATTGTAAAATTTAAATGGTTTGATTTCTTTTATCAAACACGAATTCATTTTTTTTTGTTAAAAATAATAAGTATTATGATATTTTAATATTTTTCTTTGTCCGTTTACTTTACATAACGATTTTAAATATAGATTATTGCAGTATTTATATAATTTTCACGTTTTCGCCGTTAATCCTAAAATGTTTCTTATTTTAGCAAGTTAATGCTATTATGAATCTTATACTTAATATTGACATTTTTCATAATGGTTACAAAGTTTGATATGTTAAAAAACAGAGAAATCAAATTTTCGAATTAGCAGCGAAAAACAACCTCCACACATCATCCAAATTTTCATTGTTTCGTTTTGGATTTCAGGTTTAACTTGCTAAAAATCACACATAAAAACATAAACAGCGAATGTGTACTCTCAATCTTAAACGAAGTATAACAGTCTATTTCATTCATTTTGATTGTTTATTTTGAAATGCGTATTAAGTTTTTAACGGAAATAGTTTATATTTTATCCACTAAAAATCAGACGACGTTAAACAAAACACTTTTGGTGAAAAAAGAACAATATCAAATTTAATTTGCAATTGTATTTTTATTTCAAACGTAAAAAACTATAAAAGTATAAGTGTATCATTTTTTTCCAAATACGTAGTTTCCTCTTTAAAGAAGCAATGCTTAGCAAGTGTGACATTTAGAACTGTATGTCTCTGTCATGAATTAGCATCTTTGTGTAATCAGCCCGGGCATCGATCCGATATGTCTAAATAGAAAGAAAGAAATATTTATTTTATAATTCATGTGCAAAACGTTTATTGTATTGAGTATTTCCCGTTATAAATTATTTAATAAGTCATTGATTCAAGTTTTTTGCATCATTGTATTAGCAAAAGGAAGGCAAATGTATGCTAGCAAAAAGAATTATGAATTCAAAATAAACGTACAAAAGAAGAAATAAGTATCTTATTGTTTTCTGGTTTCCATACAAATGTCATTTTCAACTCGAACTTACACGGAAATCTCAATCTCTGAGATGTGGTTATCTCTGTCAGTGTCGATCTCATCAAACATGGTTTCAATGTCGCTTCTTTCCCAAACGCCATTTTTGTTTGTGTCCAGAATATCGAAGAGTTCCCCCAGTACACTTTTAATTTGAGGATCAGTGTGTACGCCATTTACCCAGTCTTCAAATTGGTTAATTGTTACTTGTCCGGTCTTGTACACATCTTTTTCCTAAAAAGGTAAAATAAATTTCACTCTGAGAACTTTCTCTTTCTAATAACGTTTTTGTATGACTCTTAACACTATTGATAGAAAATGGCAAAGTACATTTCAGTACAGATGCTATTTGTATTATTTGCAATGGCCTCTTTTTTATATTATAAAAGCTGATAGATATTAAGATGTTCATACTAGAAACATGCAATATGTAAACAAAATAAAAGAAAAGAATATCTAAACGTATTGTAACACACATTAAAATTTTTTAGTAACACATATAAACTCTTACAAGTAGTTTATCCAGCATTTCAAATTTTGAAACAAGTCCATCGCCATTAGTATCCATAGTTCTAATAAGTAAAGGTGTGATCATTTTGACATCCATCAACACAGGAGATTCACCGATGCAGTCTGATACAGTGGGTCCACGAAACAATTGTTTAGCAATGTATCTGTGGTATATCGTTGGATAAACATATAAATTAATCTTCAGTCAATATCTGTTTGTAAAACTGCAATCAAATATTTATTTGTAACGGCAAAATATAATTTTGAAGCCAGTGATGTTACAAAATAAAACCGTTATAAATGAACTATTTGATACGACGAAAAAAATAACTGACCCTTTATACTCTTCCTTTGTAACGAAGTTATCATTGTCAGTGTCGATCTCTTCAAAGATGATGTCGACGTCTAGACTGTTGAGCACTCCATTCTTATCTTTATCTAAATGGTCGAAATGAGTGGCGAGAACACTTTTAGTAAAAATGTCTGGTTGTTCTACATCCACCCAGCGCTCATATTCACCTCTGGTCAGTTGTCCGGTAATATCCAGATCTTTCTCCTGATAAAATAACTGAAAGAGTATAGCAAACAAAAACACTGCAAGTTTGAAAATACGATATTATTTTCACAAAGCTACTTACAAACAGTTTTTGTTCCATCTCGTTCCTGGAAACAAGTCCGTCGCCATTCATGTCCATCTTTTTAAATGACTGGGAGATCAAAATTTTTACTTTCATTCCCAAGGTCAAGGCTGGGATACGGTGCACCTGCTTAGCCAGGAACCTTTGAAAAGTTTCAAGTATATATTTTAACATGTTTTAAATATATAAAGTGGCTCAAATTAGTTATATTTGAAATTTTCTCGATTGTTAATGAATATATGAAAGCTAATTCTATAAAGATTCTGACCTTTTGTATTCATGCTCAGAAACCTTGAAGTCTCTGTCTATGTCAATCTCATCAAAGATGACTTCAATATCTACACTGTCCAAAACACCGTTCTTGTCTTTATCCAAATCATCGAAGTGAGTCAATAAAACTCTTTTGGTTTGGGGATCAAAGCTGACAACATCAACCCAGCGTTCATACTCGTCTTTTGTGATCTGCTTGTTCATATCCCAAACATTCTCCTGATGAATCATTTTTAAAGCTCATTTAGTTTAAAGACGCAAGAAAAGAAAAAAAAACCACTTTTTTCTTGCACATTTCTTTAAACATAACAATAGTTTTCCAATGTAACTGTATTTTTATAAAGATCATTTGTAGATTTAGAGTTGTAATTTTTAAATAGTCGTACTATGTACACAATGTTATATGTTTAAAATGTAATTGTTATGTTGCACATGAATAAAGGTTATACTTTCAAAACTTACAAAAAGTTTATCTTTCATCTCTGATTTGGAGATAAATCCATCATTGTTAGTATCTAACTTTTTGAATGATAGGATGGTCACAAAGTTAAGTTTCATCCCCAAAGTCAAGATTGGAATGTCAGACATTGTCTTAGTACCGTAACTAGATAGAGAAATCGACGTAAAATAAAAATTATATTAACATTTGTCAGATAATTTTATTAACTTTCTACTATTTTACTTTAAAATATGATAGAAAGATATAAAATAAAAGAAACCAAATTTTACCTCAAGTAGTTATTGCCATAAAGACTTGTGTCAAGCCCGGTAAAATCCGAATCAAACAACATTCTATGGTGAGTACTATCTAAAACACCGTACTTATTGTTGTAACTTTTGCCAAGGAGGTTTCTTAGGTAAAGTTTTGAATGTGGGATGTAGGTTCGTGCGTTAGCTCTGCTCAGATGGCCAAATGGAGTCACTGGACCTAGCACGCTGCTATATTTGTCCTGAATTTATACATATTTTTATTTTTATGTAAAGTTAATAGGTTATGTATTAGTAATTGACATACGAATATAATATATTCATATATTGTATTTTTATTATTATTATTATGAATTAAAACAGCGAAGCAACTCTGAAATTATTACTTACTCCCCATCCAAGAACCGATCTATCATACTTAGTCATCGGACCCAAAATGTCTCCATATTGATCCTGGAATGAAGTATTTATAGAGTGCTTTAGCCAAAATGCATTTGAATTACACTCTTTTTACCTTAATTCGTAAATATATAATAATTTAGAATCAGCAATCATATGACAAAATAAATGGAGAACTACTTACTCCCCATCCATGTACTGATCTATATGAGAGACCACCAGGGTAAATACCCGTCATACCCACATATGGTGGATAGAGTCTATCCATATACCTCCCTACGCAAAGGGCAGGTAGGACGAGAAGAAGAGACAATACAGCAAACATTATGCGGTGTATTACTGAAAGACAAAAATGTCGACATATAAAATCTACTAACATACTTCTGAAATTCAGTCTTTGCATCCTAAATTAAAATCAGGATATTTAAGTGTTTCCAAATAATATGGTGGCCTAACATTTAAATATGAATCTCTGTAGATATGTTAACAAACGTTCAAACATTAGTGCTCTATTTCTGTAAAAGATGACTTACCTGATAGCTTCTAGAGTTAGCAGTGATTTGAAAATATGGTCCAGTCGGCTTTTATTTGTTTTGATATGTGGACCAGATGATTCTTTTAAGAGAGCAGCCTGATAAGGACATTGAAAGTACTTCAAAACTCTCTTTTATCAGACAGAATTTACTGAATTTGCAATTTTGGTTTAACAAAAATCTGCACAAGGTAAAAAAAAAAATATTAAGTGCCTCAAAACTTTAAAACGACTGTCCTTGACAAAGTCACATCGGTTTTTTTTTTCAAATATTTTATTTTTTTAAAAATTTGACATAATAGAAAATTAAAAGCTTATAAAAAGTATGTATACAATTTGAAGATTAAATATATCAGGTCAACATAATTTTTAAAGTTTTATCAAAACTTAAGACTATATGTATCAATAAAAAATATTTCTTACAAAATGTTTAAAAGATATTATGAAAAAGAAAAAAATATTATAAGGCATGAATAATGCATCTAAACACGGTGTATAGATTGAACAAACGATATATGGAGAAGATATAACAACGGCAAAGATGATGAATATATCGTAAATACAAATTATGCTAAATATTTTAATCGAAAAATAAATAACAAAAATTATTTTGTATATGAAGCTTTCTAAAAAGAAAAATTCCTTCTTACAACTTGATTTCGAAGTAAATACAAAACGAAAAAACCAAACTCAGTATAGATAAAATGTGTACAACGTTTTTATCTATTCTACATGGAAAATTATTTCTCAACTTATTTTTATCAGACAGAATCTACTGAATTTTCAATTTTTGTGAACAAAATACTGCAAATGATAAATGGTAAAAATAAAACTTAGTGCCTCTAAACATTAAAACATACGTCCTTGTCATTGCTTTGTTTATAATTAATTTTTAAAGTATGTTACATAATAGAAAATTAAAAGCTTATGTAAATAATGTATACAACTTGAAGGCTAAATATTCAGGCTAAATATATTTGAAGAGTCATTATTAAAACTTAAGACTCAATGTATCAGTACAAATATATCTTACAAAATGTCTAAGTCACAATTTAAAAAGACAAAATAGTTTACGGCATAAAGTAATAAAACTAGGTACGTGTTTATATTATAAACAAATGATAGCAGGAAAAAACTATATCAAACGCAAAAATGCATGAATAATACGAAAATAAAAACCATTTTAGAAAACACATTATTTTAATTCTTATAAAAACCAACAAATGAATTGCATTAATTATTTTGTACAAAACGCATAGTGAAAAAAATTCATCTAACCACTTTTTTCGAAGTTAAAACAAAGTGAAATAAAAAAACCTTATAATAAAAGTGTATATTTTTTATTCTATATTTATGAATGATCCGAAGATACGTAGCGATAATTTTGACTACCTCGCTGAAAAAAAAAATCAACAATAAAAAGTACTAAAACAAAAAATTACCTTGCAAATACAAATATTTATATTTATCAAATTCGACAACTCGTAAATATAAGGCTTCTTAACACATGGTAATTTATTTTTGTTCAATTTTCTGATCATAAAGTTTAAATGGGGTTTTCAGGTTATTTTGAAGCTATATTTTACGATTTCTTAAGGTTTCCTTAGTTTATTTCTACCCGGACGTGCATATCTTTAAAACAAAAACGCGTGGACAAATGATAAAAATTTAGTAAACGCCTTTATTAAAATACATTCCAGTTTCCAAGATTCGTTTACTACATTCGGTTTCATTTTGAAATTTTTGTCGGTCCTAAGTTTCTTAAGCAGAATGGATAGTTTAACGTCAAGCGTATGTCTATAAATGAATGAAGACAAAAATATATGTTAAGAGATAAATTCAATTTTGAAAAAAAATAGATTGACAGAATATTCAGAAAATCGTAATTTATAAAAATTAAAACATTCTTTAAATCTTATTTAAATGACATTTTGTCAATTAAAAACTTCTAGATGGTAAAATATAAATTTAAAAATTATTACGCATTTATTACACTTGAAGCATATTTGGAGAAACACTTTCTTTACTGATTTTAGTCTTGGTATTTTATACCTATCACTGAAATATAACAATCTAAATTAATGATGTAAACAAATGGCACGTTATTGTAAAATTTAAATGGTTTGATTTCTTTTATCAAACACGAATTCATTTTTTTGTTAAAAATAATAAGTATTATGATATTTTAATATTTTTCTTTGTCCGTTTACTTTACATAACGATTTTAAATATAGATTATTGCAGTATTTATACAAATTTCACGTTTTCGCCGTTAATCCTAAAATGTTTCTTATTTTAGCAAGTTAATGCTATTATGAATCTTAAACTTAATATTGACATTTTTCATAATGGTTACGAAGTTTGATATGTTAAAAAACAGAGAAATCAAATTTACGAATTAGCAGCGAAAAACAACCTCCCCACATCATCCAAATTTTCATTGTTTCGATTTGGATTTTAGGTTTAACTTGCTAAAAATCACACATAAAAACATAAACAGCGAATGTGTACTCTCAATCTTAAACGAAGTATAACAGTTTATTTCATTCATTTTGATTGTTTATTTTGAAATGCGTATTAAGTTTTGAACGGAAAAAGTTTATATTTTATCCACTTAAACTCAGACGACGTTAAACAAAACACTTTTGGTGAAAAAAGAACAATATCAAATTTAATTTGCAATAGTATTTTTATTTCAAACGTAAAAAAACTATAAAAGTTTAAGTGTATCATTTTTTTTTCCAAATACGTAGTTTCCTCTTTAAAGACGCAATGCTTAGCAAGTGTGACATTTAGAACTGTATGTCTCTGTCATGAATTAGCATCTTTGTGTAATCAGCCCGGGCATCGATCCGATATGTCTAAATAGAAAGAAAGAAATATTTATTTTATAATTCATGTGCAAAACGTTTATTGTATTGAGTATTTCCCGTTATAAATTATATAATAAGTCATTGATTCAAGTTTTCTGCATCATTGTATTAGCAAAAGGAAGGCAAATGTATGCTAACAAAAAGAATTATGAATTCAAAATAAACGTACAAAAGAAGAAATAAATATCTTATTGTTTTCTGTTTTCCATATAAATGACATTTTCAACTCGAACTTACACGGAAAACTCAATGTCTGAGATGTGGTTATCTCTGTCAGTGTCGATCTCATCAAACATGGTTTCAATGTCGCTTCTTTCCCAAACGCCATTTTTGTTTGTGTCCAGAATATCGAAGAGTTCCCCCAGTACACTTTTAATTTGAGGATCAGTGTGTACACCATTTACCCAGTCTTCAAATTGGTTAATTGTTACTTGTCCGGTCTTGTACACATCTTTTTCCTAAAAAGGTAAAATAAATTTCACTCTGAGAACTTTCTCTTTCTAATAACGTTTTTGTATGACTCTTAACACTATTGATAGAAAATGGCAAAGTACATTTCAGTACAGATGCTATTTGTATTATTTGCAATGGCCTCTTTTTTATATTATAAAAGCTGATGGATATTAAGATGTTCATACTAGAAACATGCAATATGTAAACAAAATAAAAGAAAAGAATATCTAAACGTATTGTAACACACATTAAAATTTTTTAGTAACACATATAAACTCTTACAAGTAGTTTATCAAGCATTTCAAGTTTTGAAACAAGTCCATCGCCATTAGTATCCATAGTTCTAATAAGTAAAGGTGTGATCATTTTGACATCCATCAACACAGGAGATTCACCGATGCAGTCTGATACAGTGGGTCCACGAAACAATTGTTTAGCAATGTATCTGTGGTATATCGTTGGATAAACATATAAATTAATCTTCAGTCAATATCTGTTTGCAAAACTGCAATCAAATATTTATTTGTAACGGCAAAATATAATTTTGAAGCCAGTGATGTTACAAAATAAAACCGTTTTAAATGAACTATTTGATAAGACGAAAAAAATAACTGACCCTTTATACTCCTCCTTTGTAACGAAGTTATCATTGTCAGTGTCGATCTCTTCAAAGATGATGTCGACGTCTAGACTGTTGAGCACTCCATTCTTATCTTTATCTAAATGGTCGAAATGAGTGGCGAGAACACTTTTAGTAAAAATGTCTGGTTGTTCTACATCCACCCAGCGCTCATATTCACCTCTGGTCAGTTGTCCGGTAATATCCAGATCTTTCTCCTGATAAAATAACTGAAAGAGTATAGCAAACAAAAACACTGCAAGTTTGAAAATACGATATTATTTTCACAAAGCTACTTACAAACAGCTTTTTTTCCATCTCGGTCCTGGAAACAAGTCCGTCGCCATTCATGTCCATCTTTTTAAATGACTGGGAGATCAAAATTTTGACTTTCATTCCCAAGGTCAAGGCTGGGATACGGTGCACCTGCTTAGCCAGGAACCTTTGAAAAGTTTCAAGTATATATTTTAACATGTTTTAAATATATAAAGTGGCTCAAATTAGTTATATTCGAAATTTTCTCGATTGTTAATGAATATATGAAAGCTAATTCTATAAAGATTCTGACCTTTTGTATTCATGCTCAGAAACCTTGAAGTCTCTGTCTATGTCAATCTCATCAAAGATGACTTCAATATCTACACTGTCCAAAACACCGTTCTTGTCTTTATCCAAGTCATCGAAGTGAGTCAATAAAACTCTTTTGGTTTGGGGATCAAAGCTGACAACGTCAACCCAGCGTTCATACTCGTCTTTTGTGA